GTGGTCGTAGTAGTAGTAGCAGCAGCAGCAGAAGTAGTAGTAGTAGTAGTAGTAGTAGTAGTAGCAGAAGTAGTAGTAGCAGTCGCCGTCGTCGTCGTAGTAGTAGTCGTCGTCGTCGTAGTAGTTTTAGTGCTAGTGTTAGTGGTAGTGGTTGTGGTAGTAGTAGTAGTAGTAGTAGTCGTCGTCGTCGTCGTCGTCGTCGTCGTCGTCGTCGTCGTGTAGTAGTAGTAGTAGTAGTAGTAGTAGTAGTAGTAGTAGTAGTGTAGTAGCAGTAGTAGTAGAAGGTGGTAGTAGTACCCGTCGTTGATGCTTTGTTGCTGCTCGTGCTATGGTTGCGGCTGCAGTTTTAGTTATTGTTTTTTTCATGCTGATGATTGTGTTGATGTTCTTGTTGTTGTTGCTGCTGCTGCAGCAGTAGCAATATCAAGTACAACAGTCCTCGATCAGCCCACCGGTGAACTCGCATACTGTGGAAAGACTCCAAGGAATCAAGCGACTCGCAGGAGAGTATGCCTCGGTCACGGCTTGGGGTTTAGTGTCACTTCGAAGCTTGCACACAATACGTCTGGACTGTTTGAAGCCCCTAAACCCTAAACCTTAAACAGCTTTCTTAGGAATCCTTCCCCTGATATCCTTATGCATTTTCCATAGAAAAGGCACGTTGTCGGGGTTGGCACAGGGTATAGGGCATGTGCATGCAACTGTGTTGGATAGGTGATGCCTCTGCCACTATGACTAACCAGCACTTTGAGGTGTTCAATTCAAAGCCCCAGCAGATAGCCTTAGCGTGATCCCAGCTGGCTCTTCTCTCGAAGGGGCTGTGCTTCAACAAGCAGCTGCTTCAAGCTCCAAAACCTAAACCCTGAAGCCCAACTCCTACAAATCTATCATCTCGACACAGCAACTGGCCTCCGTTAATCCTCACCTCTACACATCTACCAATAGGGAATGCGGGAAAGTGTTTAGTACAGGCTAGTTCCCCCTCTGAGCGGCTTGGGCTTGGAATATACAAGGCTTGAGGGCTTCATTTTGCCAAGCCGAAGGTTGAAGCTTAGGGCTTAGGCTTCTGGCCGAAAGTCTGCGAGTGGGAGGTTTAGAGATTAGGGTTTACCTGAAGAACCCAAAACCCACTTTTTTGTAGGGTCCCTATAAATCCCATATTAGGGTTTATAATCAGAACCTACAAAAAAGTGGGTTTTGGGTTCTTAAGGGTTTAGGGTTTAGGGTTTAGGGTTTAGGGTTTAGTGTTCAGGTGATGGAGCCTGGTCTAACCCTAGCCAGCTGCAGCCTGATCATAAAGACCCCTACGCCCTGAACACTAAACCCTGTACCCCAGACCATAAACCCTATACACCCTAAACCCTAAACCCTAAACCCTAAACTTCTAACCCCCTAAACCCTAAACCCTACACTTCTAACCCCCTAAACCCTAAACCCTAAACCCCTATTTCCTTGTCTTTGGAAGCTCTGAAGTTCCTCCTCTAGCGGTGCCGTGTGATTCTGAGATGCACCGAAAACCATGCTATAAGGATTGCTGTTTAACAAGGCACCAAGAACGACCACGAAAAATTGTTCATGTTTTGTAGTTATTCGTATTATTACTATTATTATTGTGGTTGCTACTGTTATTACTATTTTTGATATTTGTTATTGCTATGGTTATTGTTGTTATTATTGTTATCACCCTACCCATGCCATGGTTCTGGCCCTTGTGGAGCACCCACTTATGCTTTCTTGCCACGTGCTCTGCAAGCAGTGCAGAGCTTTTGGGACAGCTGGGCGCCTCATGGCCCAACTGCTTGGAGCTTCGTCGCGGAAAGTTCTCGCATCCTAAATACCCACACGATGGGCCTGCAGGCATTGTCCATCTTCCATCATCTTCTAATGCTGGTTCGTGGAAACTTCAAACCTCCAGGCACATGACAACACAAGCGTAGGGACCGCGAGGGGCCCGAGTCGATCTGTGGCAGCCGAGACGCGATCGAAAGACGGCAATCGGAGTAGATCCGGCATGGCCCTTTCCAGCGGCGAACCATTCTGCGGTCCTGATAGCACAACTAGGCCCATCCTTGCAATCCTGTGATGAGCTGCATATCTGATTCTAATAATCGCGCATGCTGCCAATATTACGCACCACTTGTGAGCAAGAGATGCTCGATTAACCGAAGACACCCCAACGCCCCGCACACCCCTAAAGCCGACTCTAACCCCAAAATAAAGCATGTCCTGCCGTGCGATCTTGAACCTCTCACAATCGATAGGACTGGGGGTTTAGGGCATAGAGACGATAGAGCTTCCACGTTTGGCACGGAGGGCTTCAGAGCTTGGAAGGTTTGGGAATTTACATGTTTAAGGGTTTAGGGTTCAGGGTTTAGAATGGATTTACATGTTTAAGGGTTTAGGGTTCAGGGTTCTGGGGGAAGGACCTCAGGTCTGTGGTCAGTGGCTCGCAACTCTGCTTGCTCGCTTCTCGCTCCATGTATCGAGTCTTACAACTACGAAACTAAGAGACTCCAATATCCCTTAATTAAGGAATATACCTTAAATCATATTAGGGATCCTACTATAATTTAAGGTATATTTCTTAATTAAGGGATATTGGAGTCTCTGGGAAGGCAGCCTAGCCAGGTTTGAGAATGTTGAGTGTAGGGATTCGGATTACGGTTACCCAGAGAACCCAATATCCCTTAATTAAGGAATATACCTTAAATCATCATATTATAAGGCCCCTGTAGTTTAAGGTCTATTCCTTAATTAAGGGCTATTGGGTTCTCTGGTTAAGCTTTCAGGGCTTGGGGGCCTTCGACTTGCGGGTGAGCATCGGGAGTTTAGGGATTCTAGCCCCCGAGCTTCAGTGTTCAAAGCTTCGCAAAAAGGAACTACACAGAGACTCCAATATCCCTTAATTAAGGAATATACCTTAAATTATAGTAGGATCCCCAATATGATTTAAGGTATATTCCTTAATTAAGGGATATTGGACCGTCTCTGGGTACTATGGGGCCTATGGGTAGGCTTGTGGTCTACACATTCGCATGCAATAGGGTTTTCGGGTGTGAAGCGTGCGGGTCTAGTCACTGAGGGCTGGTGGTTTAGGGCATTACCTATAGTCTCCACTGTAGTTCCTTTTCTGGTTCTCCGAATTATGTATTAAGGATTTTTCAAGGTATCCCCAAGATGGAACTACAAGGGAGACTATAGGTAGGGCTTAGACAAGGGGGTCTGCATGGTGTGGGAAGAGGGGAGAGCGCATCAGAAGCGGTTTTGGGCGGCCTGCATTCCATCAAGGATGCAGTAACCCACTAATTCTGGATTTGGCTACATTGACGACTTGCAGTTGCTTTTTGCGTTGATTTTGTTCTAGCCAATTCTGAGTTTGTATCGCACTCTCCTTCCTGAATGGTCCCATTTGCAAACCCTACCGCAGCATCCTAGGCCCTATCCGAAACCCTCTCTGGGCGAGCGCATATCTTGGGTTTTAGGTCCAGGTGCTGATTTTTATGGCTGGGCCTGACAGTTCCTCACGCGGCTTCTGGATTGCGCTAACATGAGGCAGGGCTTTATTATTGGGAGTCTCCGCATGAGGCAACCCAAAGTGAACACTCATCAAAATTCCAAGGAAGCCTACTTACGGTCACCAAACACCCAAGTGCGAATTCTGCGTGTTATGATTTTCAGGAAGTTGACTTCTCTTGTGCCTACAGCTTTGAGGATCCCTACTTAGGAACCCAGCACTTAGGGTTTATAGGGCTCAGGGTTGAGACTTTCGGGCTCGGGGTTGAAACTCGAGATCTCAGCTGCGTCCGACTTCGGGATTGCAGGGCGCAAGAAACGAAGGGTTTAGGGTTTAGGGTTTAGGGTTTAGTGTTTAGGGAGATGAATACAAAGGAAAGCAACAAGACCGGATGCAGCTAATGTTCATAGAGCGGTCCTGCGGTTGGTGACGAGTTACTACACTTGCGAAACTGCATAACGTCACCAAGAAACCGACATTGGAGATCTATAGGTCTATGCAAGTTGTCTGTACCCTGTGCAGAGGCGGCAGTTCGATTACGAACCAACATGGCCGCCAGGAGGCTTCCCCCTTTCACAAGAATCTCATTCTGAGGCAGTGTCATCCCACTGCCCCTTCCTGCAAAAAGTAGAAAGAACCTACAGACAATCCAACCTGTGTGTTTGACGTAGTTAAGACCCGAAAAAGAACTCAAAAGGACACTTACATACCCATAGTAGAGAACCTCACTCACATTAGCAGCTCTAAGGACTCGATTCGGCCTGTCTGTACTGCCGGCGCACATCGATCTCTTGAAGATCGACGTCCTCGCGACCAATCTCCCGGCAGAGCTTGACGAAGTCTTTCGAATCGAGGCCTCCGGACACCAACCCGGAGCCTTCTGAGCTCAGGAACATAACTTCAATTCTGAGGGGTATCTTATGTAGGGCCTTCTAGGATTAATAGTCCTATTCCTCAACTAACGGGATTTTCCTTTAAGTCTCGAAGTAGCCTTTGACGGGAATGGCAGGGGGCGACGGATCCTCGAGCCTTGCGTTCTTCACCCTGGCAGCCTAGGATCTATGGTGGGATTCAGCCATCGCTGTTTTAGGATTCCGGGTTGGAGGCCCAGGGTTTAACGCAGCTTTGAAAAACCCAAGGTTTACCCATAGGCCCCATAGTGGTTTAGGGTTTAGGGTTTAGGGTTTAGGGTATCCATATTCAGAATCCTATAAGGTTATCCCAACAAGGAGCTACTATGGGGCCGATGGGGTACAGTCTACTGTTTTGGGGGGTTGTAGGGTTCAAGGCAACTTTGAACAAATCCGAGGCTTGGGGCCTAGAGGTAGAGGCGGCGTGGAGTCTGAGAGCTGTGGACGGACGGATTAGAAACATGGTTGGGTTTAGGGTTTAGGGT